ACAAAACCCAGGTATTTTCTTTACTGGTCTTTATCATAATGCAAATTGGCTGGGCACCATAGCTGACACCTATAATCCCAGTGACTCAAGAGAGTGAGGCAGGAGGATCACAAGTTTGAGTCTAGCTTCAGCAATTTAGTGAGACTGTCTCAAAATAGCCTGTAGAGAGGCTAGGGTTGTGGCTCAGTGGTAGATCACTTGCCTTGCATGTGTGAGACCCTGGATTCAATCCTCAGCACCACATAAAAAATAAATGAATAAAGGTATTATATCCATCTACAAATAAAAATATTTTTTAAAAGATGGGCTGGGGATGTAGTTCAATGGTAAAGCACCTCTGGGTTAAATCCCCAATACCAAAAACAAAACAAAACAAAAATCCCAAGTGGGTATAATTTATGTTAATCCTTTTTTTTTAGTTCAGAATCCATGCCCATAGCTATATGTGATGTTCCTGAGTCCATATTCTCTCTTGTTCCATTTTCTGATTTCCTATGAGTGTAGAGAAGTATAATCATCTTTCTGTTGTGGAATAGGAGAGGGGATCTTGTAGTCTCTAATAAACTAATAAAATCCTTCATCTCATGCCTTAGCTTTCAGTATTTTCTGTTCACCTCATTGTGTGAAGTGGCAGATGCTTTCAATTCTTCATCTATAGAGAACTGCACCCTGATTCAGTATTATAGAAATAATCCATTGTAGGCTTAGAATTTGATTATTGTGTACAGAGTCACTTATTACTCATCCATTGGCTTTTTAGCTTCCAAGTTTTATTTGTTGCTGCCTCTTTTCCAGTATCCTTTGTCTTAGTGGAGTTTTTCTTGACCTTTGTTAAACTTTTACTATAGATTCATGAGTAAGCAATGATAAACTCTATATATACAATCTGCCAATTTTTAAACAAATTATGCCCCTTTTAAATTAAAATAGTATGGTCAACCTTCATTATTCACAGTTTCCATATTGCAAATTCACTTACTCAAAATCAATACAGAGCTCTCATGGTCATATACAGAGTGGCAAAAAAAATTAAGTCTTCCAATACATATTTATTCCAATTGATATTTAAAAAGGCCCTGCTCTGACTTCTTATTTTAACTCTCGTATTATAAAAACAATCCTTTGCACATTTTCTTTCTGTTGGTGAATTCACTGTTTAAAGTGGCAGGCAAGTACTTGGGGTGTAACCCTGTGGTAAAGAGCCTGGTTAGCATGTGCAAGGCCCTGGGTTCAAACCCAAGTACCGCACAAACAAATAAAATGCCCCTTAAACATAGTGCTGTGTCATCTAATGTTCCTAAATGCAAGAGGTAGAAACATTTGCCTAGCATGTGTGAAGCACTGGGTTCCATTCTCTGCACCATATATAAATAAATAAAATGAAGGTCCACTGACAACTAAAAAATATTAAGAAAACAAAGATGGTT